ATTTTAGAAAGTGTAAACTTCTTTAGTAATTCAGGTGATTATAATTAAGTTTGATGAGTAAAATATTTTCTTATGAGAAAACAAATTGTAATTTGTACAGTTTTATTATAAGTTTTTAATGGTTTCTAAAAATTCTAAAGTTTTTATTTCAATATAAATGTAAGTACAAATGTATAAATAAATACTTAAGAAGTTATCATGTTAAAATAATGAATTTATTTTTGATTTTAATTCTAATTATCTTGTGTTTTGTTCTAGAGAAATTCAAATAATAATGCACTATTTTCAATATAAATTAATAATAAAGGTGAAAATTATTCTTATACAAATTTTAAAATTGTAAATTAATCTAAAGTTAATATCATTTTATGAAAATCTTTAAACCTTACAATTTACCAAATTGGTCCATAAAGATAATTTGATATTTTAATTTCAGTAATATCTTGCAAATAAGCCTATTATTAGTCATCATTCCAATATAAATTTGCATCTTTATCAAAGGATAAAATAATTTAGGTATGAATTTTAAAAATCAAATGTTATAATTAAATTGAAATGCAACTCATTAAAATTGTATACTTTATCAACTTTGATTATTGCTGGTTTTGAACAAATCCTAAAGATATTTTAATTTTCTAATAAAAATTGTCATTAATTTCTTTTTTCAATATTTATAGTACAACGCTAACTTGTTTAGAGGGTTTGATATAATATAATTTATTTATTTTTCTTTGCATTTTCATATGGTTAATTGCAATTATTTAGTAATGTAGGCCTTTATAAATGGAAATAATATATAAAAGTTAAAAGATGATTCATAGAAATATAAATAATTACATTATATTGATGTATGTTGAATAGAAAAGGCTAATTATTTTATCAAATCACAGGTTTTTGGGTTTTTGGCAATTGGTATTTAAAAGATAAGCGTTCAATGGTTTGATAAATGAATAAATTTTATTAGAAGGATAGGTTAATCAAAACAAGTAGAGTGATATTTGAAAAATAAATCAAAAAAGGATGATCAAAATATCCTTCTTATTAATAAAATGTTCCAAAATCAATGGGCTCAAGAAAACAAAGGAATACTTAACTTTCCAAATTATACTATAAATACTATTGAAATTTAGAGAATTATTGATTAAGAAATTAGATTATAATTTTTAAATAATTAGAATTCTAAAAATTTCGATAGTCAGAATAATTAAGGACTTTGTTTTATTCTAAGTTTATTTAGTGACTGAGACTTATTCAAGGAATGGTTAACTTGTAAAACACATTCAAATTAAATTTCTTTGTGAATGTATTACATACCTTGATGTTCTGTTCAATATTTTGGAATCTTTAGCTTTTTTAAAAAGTATAAATTGAATTTAATTATTATTTAGGTTTAATCTCATTTTTTGAAAATAAGTTACGACCTGAATGCTAGGATTGTAGATTGTATTTTTCTGTTAATCCTAAATACAACAGGGATGAAATATAATTTGTATGATTAAATGAACCAATCTTCATTTTTTGTGTTCAACAGATTCATTAATTATGTGATGAAAAATTAGTGTACATTTGACCTCAAATGCAAAGATATTAATTTTGCACAAAGTCTAAGTATATTGGTTTTAATCATAATTATTTGGGAATTAAAAAATAATTTTTATGCTCATTCGAATATAAAAAATTATTGACAATCAAATTTTCAATAATTCAATTAAAATTTATTTAAATTGTAATTCTATCAGAAATTCCTATGGAATTCTTATTATTATTTTAATTACACACGTATTATAAAATATAATGAATTAAAAATAAGGATAGGAAAAATGTTAAGAACACTCTGAAAACATTGTTGCAATAAATCGATATGAGAAAGATTTTGAAAAAAGAGGATTGTGTAGTAAGTGTATGGCTAATAGATACAAAAAGGAAGTGATGCATATTTAAAATTCTATCGACTAGATTAAACAAACTAAGCAAATACTAAAAGAAGATAGATCAAATATCTTATAAAGTAGACTAGAAAACATCCAAAAATTAAATGAAAGTGTTGAATAGTTAAAAAATTTCTACATCTAATAATTTGATTTGATCATCACATCTATTAATAAGTGGACATAATCAATTTAAAATATAGAAGAAGACTTCATTAATAAGGCATAATCATAAGAATGTTATGATTATTAACTATTTGTTGAATTTATTACGTAAGAATAAGAAGCTCAAATTCAAACTTAGATTGATTTTAAAATTTAGATACAGAACTTATTACTTTCATTAACTGAAACAGATTTATTTAAAACATGTCAAAAATTTTTAGAAAATCAATCAACAGAAACAATTTTATTTGAAAATGCCGAAAACGAAGATGATTAAGAATTAGAAGTAGTATAATTATTTTGAATTTAGGAACTTTGTCTTTTATGTGATGATCATAAAAAATAAATTACTCTGTTTGATCTTAGTAAAGACAGACCAAATTAAAAGCGTATTGCATGCTTAAGGTGCTTAGATGGTACAATAAATTAATATACTTCAATTTAAATAGCTCATAATATTTGGTAATAAGTGCAATAAAAAAGGTTAGAAAAAATGAATAAAAACTCTGATATATTCTCAATAAAAGTTAATAATCTTAAAGATTATTTATAAACAATATAAAAAGGATATATTTCATAAATTGGGAATACAGTAAATCAATTAAATAATATTTATAAAAATTATTCTAACCAAGTCAATTCAAAAACTACTCATTTAATAAATACATCTTGGAAAAATTTATCTAAGGAAGAAATTCTCAAAATAGCTTAAGATTTAAGTTAAATTAATGAGTATAATATTATAGAAGATCCATTATTAATGGAATATAATAATTAAGATAATTAAATAAATGCAGTTATTAAAGATACTGTTTTAAGTTTATAAGAATGTTAAAAAACTTAATTAAATAAAATAAATGGTTAAATAAACAATTAATTATCAGTGGATGATTTCATAATTAAGATTAAAGAAAATCCTAAAGAAGAAGATTGCTAAAGTTTAAGACAAAATAAAAGTTAATCAATAGAAAAATCAATTATCTTAGAATCTAAATTAAGAGAGTTGGATTTATCAATTAATTTTAAGTTATCTTAATAACAATATTCTTAAACTATTTAATCTGAATTTAAATAATAATAATTAAACCAAAGCATTTATAATTTAATACAGAATAAGCCAATTAAATAAAATGAATGGTGCTATGCAATAGCTTTTAATTAAGATAATTCAACTATATTAGTTGGTAGTAATAAATAAATTAAAGTATTTGAGTTCAAATAAGAATAATTAAAACAAACTTAGCTTTTAAGTGAACATTCAAATGAAATCTGTACTTTAAATTTTATGAAGCAATCTAATTAATTTATATCTGGAAGTTATGAGATCATAATATGGTCTATCAATGAAAAAAATTAATGGATTTGTAAATAGAAATTAAATGGACATATTAGTTTTATTCGCTGCTTAATATTGAACAATGATGAAGATCTTATCATATCTTGTAGTTTTGATAAAACAATTAAATTTTGGATAAAGTAAAATGGATGGATTTGTTCACAAACAATAACAGATCATATTAATTCTGTATATGGGTTAAGTATGAATGATTCATAGAATAAATTGATTTCTTGTGGAAGTGATAACTTAATCTTAATAATAGAATATTCATCATAAGATAAAAAATGGTCTATAATATAAAAGATTAAAGTTGAAAATTATGGAATTAGAATATGTTTTATAAATGATAATATATTTACATTTTAACCTTATTCTAAAGAGTAGATGCATATTTATGAATTGAATAATACTAACAAATAGTATTCAAAGACAAAGGATTTGATAGTTAAATGTGGATCTGATGGTGCTTGTCTATTTCCGTAATAATATATAAAGCAGAAATGTCTGCTTGTGAATAAGAATGGATAAAATATTAATTTGATTAAGAGGAAGGAAAATGGAGATTTTATCACTTAATAATCTATTGATTTTGGAACAAGTTCTTTATTTGGAATAATGAGTGATAATGGAGAATATTTAATTACATGGGATGATATATCCAAAGAAATTTAGATAAGAAAATATTAAGAAAAATGAAAAAATTATTATGTATATTATTTAAGAGAATTTAAGTTTTACAATAATTTAAATTAGATAGTTTTAAAAAAAATGAATACTTAAAGTGATAGTATCTTCATTTATTTTTTTATGATCAATTTTCTAAAGATAGATATATCATATAAGAATTAAATAACTTTTTAAAGGAGCTCAATTTACTATTATTAATAAAATATTATTATTTTAACCAAGAATATTGCGAGAACAGAATTGAATTTGATATAATTATTTATGTTACTGCCATTTTAGTATGCTTTATTAATCTT